CAGCCGGGGCTGCAGTCTGGCCAGGAGCAGGCCCCACAGACAAGGATGCTGCACAGCCCAGCAGCCTGGCAATAACCGTGTTTAAAGCCTCCGCCCTGCTGTCAGTTTTTCCTTCCTGGACCTAGGCAGCTCCTCATCACTGCTGCCTGCTCCTGAGAGTGGGGGAGGGGAACTCGCTGATCCCCTGCCCAGGGCCAGGCCGTGGGTTTGCTGGGGAACCTCCCAGGACATTTCTGCCCCCACCCAGCTGCAGCCCCAGGGCTGGAGACAGGGCCGGGCTGGCTCCCAGCTGGGCTCCCCTCTCCCCTCTAGATGGCACCAGAGCCCCACTGCCCTTCTCCTCAGGCTGTTTGTTCTGCCCCGCCCCTCCCCCTCTGGGGTCCCGGTTCGGGACTTGTCTGAGTCTCTTGTGAGCTCTGGCTGCCCCCCTCCTGTTGCACCCCTGGGCTGTGGGCCTGGACAGACGCCTCTCGCCCCAGCCAGAGACCTTAGCTCTGAGCTTGCACCTCAGGCCCCTGGGGCTCACACCCCTCCCAGAACTGGGGGTAGAACCCAGGAGTCCTGACTCCCTCCCCCCCCCACTCTCATCACCAGACCCCCAATACGCTGCACAGCCCAGAGCTAGAGTTAGGGACTGTCCCTAAATCACATAATTTTTTGGTGCTTTTCAAAGCCCTCTCCCCGCTTTGTAACCTGAAATAAACATGCAGCATTAAAGACTCTCCCTGCAAAACATTACATCATTTATGAACAGCCCCATGAAACCCGGAAGTCCTGATTCCCAGGTTCCCTGGTCTAATTCAATGGACCTCATTCCCTTTTCAGTACACGGGTCCTTCTCTGCCCCCCACCCCAACTAATTTTTCTGGCAACTAAAAAAAGGGGCTGGGTGGAAGACAAAAACTGCAGAGGAACACTAAATTTTGGCTGCAAGCAGCTGACAACCAAAATATTTTGTGCTATTTTATTTGGTTGATTGTTTTTGTTTTTGGCTCATGCTTGTGGTTTGCCAAGAAAGAACTGAAAATGTCAGAGGAAAGCAGACACTTTTTTCGCAAAACCTTTTCATACAATTTTTGGACAAACAAAAGTTTAGTGGGAAAATTATTATGACTTCTAAGTTTCTAGCTTCTAACCTGTGAACTTCAGAACTATCAGCCAACACAAGAAATCTAGCGAGCTGGACATACTCATCAGTCTCCAATGAGCGAGCATGAAGAGACTCAAATTTGTCACTCCGCTCACTTAACCACTGGGCTGCACAGCCTGTTGGAAAAGGGCTCTTTGAGAAAAATATTCACTTGCTCTGAAGGGGACTCACATGGTGGGACTCTGGCCTGTGTTCTGCAGCAAATCCGACTAGCTTCTGGCCTTGCTAGATCTGTGAATCTCCCCTCTAAAACTTACCTCATGAGTTAGGCCATACGCAAGAGGAAAATAAAACTGGGGCATAGAGAAGACAGTCCCCACTGAGATTTGGCAGTTACAGGGTGTCCTGGGAACAGCAGTCTCTCCATGAAATGCTCACAGACCAAGGATGGCAAGGGAAAGCCTCAGCCACTAACCACTGGGTAGGAGACATCTGGGAAACTGGGGCCAGATGAAGCGACCAAAAATAGGCAGAACATTTTTTTCCATCAAAATTGTGAATTCTCAAAATGTGTTGATGTTTCCGGGTGAAAATAAACACACAAACCCATTAACTTGAACATTTCCTAAACATTCTGTTTGCATTTTGGTTAGTCCAGGTGTCCCTCCTCTCATGAATAAGCCTCCAGGGGTTCCACGGTGCAGGGCAGTGCCACTGAAAGAGCTCTGAGCACACATAGGACTCCCACATGTATAGCTCAAAAGGGGCATAATCTGGCTAGGAGTATCAATGGGAGAGGACCAGCTGATGTCAGTCCACATGGCTCCATTGGTATCAGTGGGACCAGATCCCCTGCTGGTGTAAATTGATGTCATTCAATTGGATTCAATGGCTGATATCCCCAGCAGCTATACATTGGTACAGAGAAAAGGGTGGATCTGTGTTGATTTATACTGGCTGAAGATCTGGCCCCAGAGCTTGGATTTATACAGGCCTCCCTGGGGGAGGGTGATAGGAAATACCCCTCAGCGGCCAGCGTTCCAGCGATCTCCCACCTGATAATACGTCATTCAAGTGGGTCTCTGTGATGAAGTGGGGATTGTATTCGCTCTGTTCGCTTTGTTAAGTTGAAGAGGATTCTACTGTCCCATGGTATGCTTTTTAAAAAAAATAAAAATGGGCAACTAAAGCTAGACATTTTTCAACAAAATCTTCCAAGTTCTAAAAAGACTTAACTGAAAAGAATTAAAATTTGTGTGTGATAACATTTAGGTTTTGGATTATCTGGCTGAAATTAATTTTAATGTGTAAAATTTTGAAGTCAAAAAAGAAAATGCCTTTTTTTATCAATATTTTATTTCAAGAATATTTTTACTTTTGGGGAAAAAAATTGAAAATCAAAATATTTTGATCTGTAATCATTTCAGTGGTGCCTTATGGAAGCTGATGTGCAGGTTTTTCATGCTTCTCTATGTGCTCGGATGTCTGGTAAGACATCTCACATAATGCACCATGCTTCCTTCTCGTGGTGAGGGGTGATGTTGTATCATGAAACTCTTAGAAGATGTAGTTAGATTGAGAGACAGATCTATAGAGGAGGGATGGTGACAAGGAAATGAAGTTAGATCATCCACCAAAAGTGCCATGAATCAAAATATTTTGGTTTATGGTTGAAAAAAAATTGATTTTTCAGTCTTCGCTGCTTGTACTGATAAATCAAAAGTTTTCATGAACATTTTTTAGTTAAAATCCTAATTTTCAATAAGAAACATCTTTAATCAAAATGTTAGGATCATATTAGCTAATAGGATTTAGAGGATCTGTTATGGCCACACCGCTTGCTGTGCCCCATTTATAGTACATGCTGCAGAGAGGGGTAGCTGCTTATAAATCCCTGATTCTCTTCTTGACTCTGGGGAAAGTGAAAGCTCCAAAAGCCCCTTCCCACCCCCGCTGATAGCTAGAGCATATCGTTCTCCAACTGCCAGTATCGGTGGCTATGCAGTGACTGGTATAGGCTGTCAGCTCTACACTTGCTGGAGAACTTGCTGAATATTGTTCCCTTGCTGGTCCTTCGGCCAGGTTTACATAAAATCAGGGTAAGGTAACAATAGGGCAAATTGGCTAATTTTTCCATGAATATTGAGGCTTTTCTCTGTCCTCATTCCAACTTATCAACATCCTTTTTCAACTGTGGATGCCAGAACTGGGCACAGGATTCCAGCAGGCATCACAGCACGGCCAAACATGGAGGTTTAATAACCCCGTTAGTGCTACCCAATAATCCCCTCTTTATGCATCTTGGGATCACATTAGTGCTTGTGACCACAGCATCCCACTGCGCGCTCATGCTCCACTGATAACCCACCATGATCCCCAAATCTTTTGCACACTGTTTCCCACGCTGTCTTGCACATATCTAACTGGGCGTGCCTGCCTTCCATTCAGAGTCAATATCTCTGGTTCTGACTTATAGATACCTAGATTGCAAGGCCATTTGGGACCACTGTGGTTATCTAGTGTGAGCTTCTGTGCGACAAAGCTGTGGGTGGGATGCGGGGGTCAGTGGGCGAGATCCTCAGGCCTGGGTGATGCAGAGCATCAGGCAAGGAAAACAACGGCCCCTTCTGTCCTCATCCTCCAGCCTTTGTGGGGCCCGGCTGAGCAAACACCCCTCAGGAAACCCAACACCAAGGCACATTGTAAAGATGTTTCATAAATGTAACAAGCAAGAGGAGATGGAGGCGAGGGCCGAAATAGGAGCTGCCTGTAACTAAAATAGATGGTGCTGTGGTGCCGCCACATGTGAAGACCTGACCTGTTTGTGCTAGATATAGACCCAGAGACGCAGCCACAGGCCCCCTCCCTGCATGTGCTCTCTTCATAATAAGATCCTGTTTTCAGGGCTGGATCCTCTCCCCTGCACGAGCAGCCCCGAGCAGCCGTGTGCACAGCAATGCAGATCCAGAGCCATGCACCTTCCATGAGGCGGAGATCTCCACATCAGCCATCTGCCACGCTCACTTTTACCTCGAGGATGGTCCCTGTGCTACATTCTCAGCAGGGCTGGGTGGCTGGGCGAGCGGCCCCTCCTCCTGCACCTTGGCCCAGTCATTGCCGATGCCATGAGACCCTGGTAAAGGTTCTCTGAGCCAGCCCATCTCCTGCCGGGGGAAGGGAGACACTGAACACTGCCCCTGTTACCCCCAAAGCAAGGTCTCTCCTATGCAGAGGGGGACAGTTCGTCCATGGAGATGCCTGGTCTATCCCCAACCCAGCTGCTGGCATTGCAGTGTGGGGTGGGAAAGGGGGTAGAGCTTGGACATTCCTCTGCTCAGCTGATCCCTGCCTCTTGTGTCCCCCTACTCTTGGATGGGGGTGTGGCTTGGGAATGGGGGCGTGGCCAGGACTTTCCTGAAACCATTCAATGCCCCGCTGCTGGGGAGTGCTGTGCAGAGACCGGAAGTTTTGTATTAGAACTGGAATCCTGGAACACCTGGGATGTGCCCCAGCGTGTGATACTGAACCTCTGTGGATTTCACACTATTGGTGTAATTCACTGCTCCGGTGTGAGCCGGGGGTCCCCTCTGGAGACACGGAGAGCATTGGCCTCAGATGGGGGGGACATGTTGGCGCCCAGTGAGTGGGACCAGCAATGGCCTGTGGCTAGTAGTGTGTGTGTGCTGCAAAATGTACATCAGATACCAGCGCACGGCATCCTCAGAGAGTCTGGCCCTGCGGTGCGGGGGAGGGGGAATGGTGCATAGTGTTTCCACTCGCACCTCTGGCCACACACACGTCAGGTTGCTCCCAGACATGCGACAAGAGACCACAACCTACCGGTTCCTCTTCTGCTCCCCTGGGGAGGAGGGGACCGGAGACACAGAGCCGCCAGGGTTTTCCTCCGAGGTCCAGATGCTGCTGCAGCGTCCCCTGGCTCGGTCACTGGCTCCTGGTCCCCATGATCCTGCTGTGGCTGCTCTGTAAGTTTGGGGAGAGCTCCCTGCCCACAGGCTCAGGGAGGGGAGGGGGTGTATCTCTGGGCTGTAGGGAGCAGAGAAAGAGGGAGGTTTATGGTTCTGCTGGGAAGAGGGGACGTAGGGACTGGCCTGGGGTCAGAATTACATTAAAAATATTGAGCAGGTTAAACGGTGACGACACCTGGCTATTTCACTGAGAGCTGGATGGCCAGTTCATCTCAGATTGAACTGGCGATTGAAAAGCTGGATATAAATTCATGGCACGTGTTTTCCTACCGTGTCTGATATGATTTTTATTCTTCTTCCAATGTTTGTAACTTCATCCCATATAATACCCTTGTGAAGGCATCATAGACTCATATATATAATGGACACTGCAAGCAATGTAGCAATTCAGACACTCATTTCCTATTGCATTTTAACCATTTGAAAATGAGAGGGCCTGAGTTAATTCACATTGTAAACTCATTGAGGCAGGCTCCAATTGTCTGTTCTATGTGTACACGGTCTCTAGCACAATGGGGATCAGGTTTATAACAGGGGTGCCTAGCTGTTACGGCCACTGAAAATACTAATAACACATTTACAAAAATTACTGAACTTTCAAATTCTGATGTTCTGAAATGCCAGTATTAATGTGTAGAATTACTGGAAAATATTCGATGCTCAATGGGCTGAGTTTTCCAAGGAATTACCAGGGAAGGAGGATTCTCTTTTATTTTTTTTTTTTTAACAACCAGATTATTGATGTCAAGGAGAGTTTTTTCTACTGACTGCAACTGATTTCTGGTCAAACCCTCAAACACTACTGGAGACTTTTTAATCCCTCCCTGTAGCTATCCAGACTTTGTTACATTCCTTACAGCGTCTTGCCACTATTATCCTCATTGAGACCTGTCACATGTGCATTGACTGTACCTTCTTTCCTATCATCCATTGTGGGAAAATGTAATAATCAAGTCTGCAGAAACAATGTCTTTAGAAGGGGTCAAAATGTTGAGACTGTTTTAAACTTTGAAAATAAATGGGAAAAATTCAGACAAAAAGGTTTGTTTATTTTCCCAGCCTCCTTTTCCCTAATTTTTCAACCACCTTTCATTTCTCTATCTGTATAATGCGGATACGGGTGCTGATCTCCAGCAGAAAGATTCTGATACTGAAATGAAATCTGGGAATATTCTACATCAAGAGAAAGACTTTGCAAAGAGCCTTCCCCTAATTATTATTACAAGGATGTTTAATTGTTTTATAGAGAGACAAGAAGGGAAGAAGCTGTATTTCTCAGTTTGAAAAAAATTGTTACAATGACATTTCTGCTGAAATTGATAAAGTTTAAAATGTCATGCTTTCCATATGGCCATATCCCAGGGTACACTGCAGGCCGTATCCCAGGGTACTTTTGTCTATACTGCAGGGTTTTTGCTCAAGAAGCATTTTGCAGAAGAGATCTTGTGCAAAAATCTTGTGGTGTAGACATAGCCCCAGGAAGGAATCCTGTCTTTACTAGTTTGGAGGGGAAACACCCTCCAACTACTGAGTACCTGTACCTGTTATCACTTCTGTACATACATAACATCCCTCTTGTGAGTAATCTCATTAAAGATAACAGGGCTACTCCTATGAGTAACGTTATGCATGTGTTTTACTATGTGAAGGCCCAGAGATTAAAATTGTGTCACTTAAATAAACTATAGTCTCTTCTGGGCAGCGACTGTCTTTTTATTGTGACTAGGCTTAGAAGGATTAGATTTTTATCCGTACATGCCACTACATGTCAATTTCACTGTACCCACAGAAAAACTAATACATATATACTTAGTTCCATCGGTAATAATGGAAATGTCTAGGCAAAGTAAGAGAAGTTCTGCTTGAGACGTTACTGAATTTGATTTAAGATATTTGGTCAGTATATTTTGGGTCCATTGGGTCTTAAGCTTTCATTTTTTGAATCTCAGTACTGACAGTCATTAAATATTTATTATTTGTCACCCATAATTTTCTTCAACTGCTATAATTTAATGAGACAAAAATAAGTCTTTTTTTATTATCCATTGAAATTATATTCAAAAAATTGAATTCTGTTCAGTTTAAATACAACAGGGTTCCTCCTCTGGAACAATAAGCAAGAATTTCCTGGTGCAACCTTGGTACCAAACATAATTAATAATTCTAATAACAATTATTAACATTGTACTGTTGTGCAAGTAGAACGTGAAATCTTCAAGCTCTAAGCCATGGTGCTCATTGCTCTAACTCAGTAAATGGAGGTTTTCAGCATCCAGCCTTTAGGTCTGTAGCTGCACATGGCTGTGACCCCATCACGGGAGAGATGTGGGGTGAATTTTGGGCTCTGCCACTGAGTCCCATTGTGACCCCAGATTGCTCTGTGATTCGGTGCCCACCTGTAACAGTGGACTCAATTTATTAATCTTTGGAGCTTAGACACCATGGTGATAGGATGGAGAGAGAGAGAGAGAGAGAGAGAGAGAGACAGGGAGAGAGAGAGAGAGAGAGAGAAATGGCCCAAATATTCTTCTCTGGCCATGCTGGGGAATGGACAGGATGGGCTGACCCTGTGTGTCGCTTAGTGCTGTGAGCGCTGTACGCTGTGTGATACTGTAAGATATGTGGAGGGGAGTGTTAAGGCCCCAATCCTGGAGTCAGATCTGCGTAAAGATCCCATGCCAGCCTGGATCTCACTGCAGGGCTAGAGCTTCTTATTACTTGGACTTTCTTACCGTTATTTACTTTCATGTCAGTGTGAGCATGTCCCCAATACAAACTCTTTATGATTAGAGATTCTCTGTCTGCTTCTCACCCTCTCTCGTGAAGGTGCCGGGGTCACAGGCCAGGAATTCTGCAGTTCCCCAGGTGAGTGTATGAACACAAGGGACATGGGAAGGACAAGAACAGGAGAGAAAGGAACAAAATTCCCAGGCCCTTGCAAAGGAAGGAGGTGGGAGGAAAGAAACCTTTGCAGTCCCTGTCTGAAATCCTGTTAATTATAGTTAATTAAGTGATTAATTCTCACAGTGGCTGACCATAAACTTAAACAAAAAGGAAGTGTATTTAGGGACAGATTCTCAGGTGGGGTAAGCCAGTGTAGCTTTGTTGATTCCAATGGACTGTGGCCAATTTACCCCCAGCTGGTTATTTGCCCTACTGACCGTGCTGGAGCACAGGCTGGGCCTCCGGCCTCAGTGACTCTAATGGAGACAAGGTTGTTTATATCAGCTATGATCTGGCTCCAATGCAGCAGGGATTCATGCTACCTCCCCCACCCCCAATAAAAGATTAACTTGTGGCTTTAAACTGCATTTATATGTGAGTTTCCACGTGACCAGACGTTTCTCCTTTCACCATCGATACAATTCTCATCCCAGCTCCCTCTCATTCCTCTCCCAGGCACACATGTCCATGTCTTTTTGTCGTTTCAGGTGATCTCCCTGCACCTCAGCTGTTCCTGAATCCGACGTCGGCTCAGGATGGGGAGACCGTTTTAGCCCGCTGTGCACAGTTTCGATATGCTAATATTACCAGAGTTTTTTTCTGCAAAGACGGGGTGGCTCTTTCCAACCAAAAATTTGAAACAGGCCAAGCTAGTTACACATTCCTCTTGAATGTCTCCATGCAGAGCGAAGGGCGCTACTCCTGTAGGTATCAGATCAAGGATGAGAAAAACAAGGAAGTCAATTCTGCTCTCAGCGCCCCCTTGCAACTGAAGGTCACAGGTGAGTGGTTATAAGCCACACAGCACGGCCAGGAGAAAGGGGTGAAATGGTGGGTCTCAGGCATGTAGTAAGTGATCCCATGCTACCCCTCCCCCACCTAGCTCCCTCTTTGAATCATTTTCTTCCCCAAAGCTGCTCCTTTGGTGGGAAAACACCCATCTCCTCCACTAGTATGAATTAACTTGAGTGAAGACAGGGCAGTTTGTCACTTCACATGCATTGAACAGGTGAGTTATGGCTACGGGAAGCCAGGAGCCAGACCTGAAGATATTCACTCATGGTAAGATGCAGATCCCACCTGAATGCATTCCCAGCTAAGAGGCTGTGATATTTCCTGTGTTTGTTTCCCAGAGAGAAAGGCTTTCCCTGACCAGCCAGAGAAAACTCCACCTACGGGACATGGTGAGTGATTGTATTCACAACCGGCCTGACTCACACAGCGCTCAGCATGCTGGGAGCAAGTTGGGTTCACAGCTCTTTAAAATCTCACCCTTGGTGTCCAAGCCATAGGCCATCAGCAACAATGGGACCCTGACACAGAGTCCAGTGGGCTGTGGGTCATGTCTGAACACCGGGTGTCTCCCATATTCAGAGCTGGGAGTGGGGTGTCCAGTTGTAGGCCTTTCCTCAAGCAGTCCCCATCCAATCTGCCCCATGGCAGAGAGCCCGAGGGCACCAGCACACACACTGGAAGGGCCAAGGCTGAGAGAGATTGTACCCATTTGATTCATAGAATCATAGAATAATAGGACTGGAAGGGACCTCGAGAGGTCATCGAGTCCAGCCCCCCGCCCTCAAGGCAGGACCAAGCTCCGTCTACACCATCCCTGACAGATGTCTATCTAACCTGTTCTTAAATATCTCCAGAGAGGGAGATTCCACCACCTCCCTTGGCAATTTATTCCAATATTTGACCACCCTGACAGTTAGGAATTTTTTCCTAATGTCCAATCTAAACCTCCCCTGCTGCACTTTAAGCCCATTACTCCTTGTCCTGTCCTCAGAAACCAAGAGGAACAAATTTTCTCCTTCCTCCTTGTGACACCCTTTTAGATATTTGAAAACCGCTATCATGTCCCCCCTTAATCTTCTTTTTTCCAAACTAAACAAGCCCAGTTCATGAAGCCTGGCTTCATAGGTCATGTTCTCTAAACCTTTAATCATTCTTGTTGCTCTTCTCTGTACCCTTTCCAATTTCTCCACATCTTTCTTGAAATGTGGCGCCCAGAACTGGACACAGTACTCCAGCTGAGGCCTAACTAGTGCAGAGTAGAGCGGCAGAATGACTTCACGAGTTTTGCTTACAACACACCTGTTGATACAACCTAGAATCATATTTGCTTTTTTTGCAACAGCATCACACTGTTGACTCATATTCAACTTGTGGTCCACTATGACCCCTAGATCCCTTTCTGCCATGCTCCTTCCTAGACAGTCGCTTCCCATCTTGTATGTATGGAACTGATTGTTCCTTCCTAAGTGGAGCACTTTGCATTTCTCTTTATTAAACCTCATCCTGTTTACCTCTGACCATTTCTCTAACTTGCTAAGGTCATTTTGAATTATGTCCCTATCCTCCAAAGAAGTTGCAACCCCACCCAGTTTGGTATCATCTGCAAACTTAATAAGCGTACTCTCTATCCCAATATCTACATCATTGATGAAGATGTTGAACAGTATGGGTCCCAAAACAGACCCTTGAGGAACTCCACTTGTTATCCCTTTCCAGCAGGATTTAGAACCGTTAACAACAACTCTCTGACTACGGTTATCCAGCCAATTATGCACCCACCTTATCGTGGCCCTATCTAAGTTATATTTGCCTAGTTTATCAATAAGAATATCATGCGAGACCGTATCAAATGCCTTACTAAAGTCTAGGTATATGACATCCACCGCTTCTCCCTTATCCACAAGGCTCGTTATCTTATCAAAGAAAGCTATCAGATTAGTTTGGCATGACTTGTTCTTCACAAACCCATGCTGGCTATTCCCTATCACTTTATTACCTTCCAAGTGTTTGCATATGATTTCCTTAATTACCTGCTCCATTATCTTCCCTGGGACAGACGTTAAACTGACCGGTCTGTAGTTTCCTGGGTTGTTCTTATTCCCCTTTTTATAGATGGGCACAATATTTGCCCTTTTCCAGTCTTCTGGAATCTCCCCTGTCTGCCATGATTTTTCAAAGATCATAGCTAAAGGCTCAGATACCTCCTCTATCAGCTCCTTGAGTATCCTGGGATGCATTTCATCAGGACCTGGTGACTTGCTGACATCTAACTTTCCTAAGTGATTTTTAACTTGTTCTTTGTGTATCCTATCTTCTAAACTTACCCTCTCTCTGCTTGTATTCACTACGTTAGGCACACCTCCAGACTTCTCGGTGAAGACCGAAACAAAGAAGTCATTGAGCATCTCCGCCATTTCCAAGTTCCCTGTTACTGCTTCTCCCTCCTCGCTAAGCAGTGGGCCTACCCTGTCCTTGGTCTTCCTCTTGCTTTTAATGTATTTATAAAAGGTCTTCTTGTTTCCCTTTATGCCTGTAGCTAGTTTGATCTCATTTTGTGCCTTTGCCTTTCTAATCTTGCCCCTGCATTCCCGTGTTGCTTGCCTATATTCATCCTTTGTTAGTTGTCCTAGTTTCCATTTTTTATATGACTCCTTTTTTATTTTGAGATTGTGCAAGATCTCCTTGTTAAGCCAAGCTGGTCTTTTGCCATATTTTCTATCTTTCCTACACAGCGGAATTGTTTGCTTTTGGGCCCTTAACAACGTCCCTTTGAAATACTTCCAACTCTCCTCAGTTGTTTTTCCCTTCAGTCTTGCTTCCCATGGGACCTTACCTACAAGTTCTCTGAGCTTATCAAAATCTGCCTTCCTGAAATCCATTACCTCAATTGTGCTGGTCTCCCTTCTACCTTTCCTTAAGATCATGAACTCTATTATTTCGTGATCACTGTCCCCTATACTGTCTTCCACTTTCAAGTTCTCAACTAGTTCCTCCCTATTTGTTAAAACCAAATCCAGAACAGCTTCTCCTCTGGTAGCTTTTTCAACCTTCTGAAACAGAAAGTTGTCTCCAATGCAGTCCAGAAACTTATTGGATAGCCTGTGCCTCGCTGTGTTAGTTTCCCAACATATGTCTGGATAGTTGAAGTCCCCCATCACCACCAAATCTTGGGCTTTGGATAGTTTTGTTAATTGTTTAAAAAAGGCCTCATCCACCTCTTCCACCTGGCTAGGTGGCCTGTAGTAGACTCCTAGCATGATATCACCCTCGTTTTTTACCCCTTTTAGCTTAACCCAGAGACTCTCTACACAGCTATCTCCTACGTTCATCTCCACTTCAGTCCAAGTGTGTACATTTTTAATATACAAGGCAACCCCTCCTCCCTTTTTTCCCTGTCTGTCCTTCCTGAGCAAGCCGTACCCTTCCATACCAATATTCCAATCATGCGTCCCATCCCACCAGGTTTCTGTAATACCAATGATATCATAGTTGTATTTATTGGTTAGCAATTCCAGTTCTTCCTGCTTATTACCCATACTTCTCGCATTTGTATATAGGCATCTAAGATACTGATTTGATCTTGCCTCCCTGTTGTGCCCTGACCCTCCTTTCTCCTTGCCATTATAGGCCGTAGTTCCCCCCATTTCCAACCCATCTCCCAGTCCCGCACATTCAGCACTTACCTGTGGGCTTTGCTCACCTGTCCCCGTCGAACCTAGTTTAAAGCCTTCCTCAGACTGGAAGCATCTCCAGGGCTTGTGTGAGTGGCCGGGCACATTTCAGGGGCCACTCCCAGCCAGCCAGTCAATGTTCCCTGCAGCAACAACACTGAGAGTATCTTTGGGGCTTAGTCACTTTAAGCTCCTCCTAGCTGGAATAGCAGTATTGGCTTTTCCCATTTTGCTGCTACCTGACCAACTAAACCCACCAACTCACCCACAAACACAACCAACCCACCCCGCCCCCTGGCACCATCAAGCTGTCTGCTGCCATCATTCTGCTCTTTCTGCTCTTTTGCCCACCTTGGGTCTGTCTGGTCTATTTTGATTATCAGCTCTTTGGGGGAGGGGCCATCTGTACAGCACCTAGCACACTGGGCCCCTATCTTGTTTGTCCCAAGGGATGTTTTGTCTCCCCTGTCAGGGCCCTTTCATCTGGGGATCAGTGGCTCAGGCACCCAAAATGCCCAGCTCTGGTCTTGGTGTGTCTAGGACTGGGAAATGGGGCTTACTGTGGGGAGAGAAAGTGTCCAGCTGCATTCAGTATCCTCAGCACCTGACCACAGGACTCTAGTTTAATATCTTCATCCTTCAGTGATTCCCTCCTCCTGCCATGTAATCTCTTTCTCGCCCTCTTCCCCCCCCACATGCTCACCTCTGCCAGAGATCAGCCGAGGAGACCATGTCTTCCTTGTATTGTGGTTTTGGTCTCTCTAGGGAATCTATTCCTGTTGCTTTGATTTTCCTCATGTGTGCTAAATGTGCTTCATAGCTCCAAAATGTCCTAGCTGTTCTGGAGATTTGTTCGGAGGTCTCACTCCATCCTCCTTTAGCTTTTACTGTGATTTTGTTGGAATGGGTATGGAAAACTAGGGTAAAACTGTAAGCTCCAGTTTTAAACTTTGAGGCGTTTGCTTGGTCCTACTTGCAGGCTGGGAGCTCTGTAGCAAAGTGTGCAGTCTGGGTCTAGCAGTAGTCAGTCTGCCAAGAGCCAGCAGGATGCAAGGTGCAGTGAGTTGAGACTCTGCCTTATTGTTTCTGATAATCTAGGGTTCTGGGTTCTAAGAAATAAAGCAGTGTGGTTTTAAACTTACATCTCTGAGTGTTTTGAAACAAAACATCTGGATCATTTGAGGTCAGTGGGTGTGTGTGTGTGTGAGAGAGAGAGAGAGAGAGAGAGATAGAGAGAGAGAACAAACATGGCTACTCATTTGTACGCACTGTTCAGTAATAACCCAAAAGACTTGCTAGGGCAGTGATACCTATGTTATTGGCTCTATGCGGGTACCCCCAGGGTTCCACAAAGCGAAAGTAAGAGTTCCGTGAGAATGCGGCATTGCCCCGCCCCCTGTTAAAGAGACAGAGTATTTTGCAGGCTTTTTTGCTCAACCAATTCTGCCGGGGCTTTTTTTTTTTCCCTTTCTTGCCAAATTTACTCTGGGAACCCTAGGGGTTCCTTGAAATTATTTTAAGCTGAAAAGGGTTCCATGGCCAAATAAACTCACATTGGGCTACTATATATATATATCATCTTATTTCGAAACAGTTAATTAGAAATAAGTTATTTCAAAATAACACATCTACACACAAAATGCATTTCGAAATAGCATTTTGATATTTTGAAATAGCACATCCACACTGAGTGGACGCTGAATCACATTTGAGGCCAGCAGGTCATCAGGTCAGGAGTTACTTTGTGTGGCTGTGCTTAAAGGGACCCCACTGGACAGCCGGGCCTCAGGTTTACCTACTTGCTTGCCTACCTCACTGCGGGACAGCAAAGCATTTTGTCTCTACATGCTCTGGTCGCCCTCACTCGGGACACCACAGCACTCTGCAACACAGAGCCAGAGCTGCCCCTGGGCACTCTGGTACTTCTCTTGCACATATTGCTGCGAGCCTGGCTGCCCTTTCTGCAGGCCGCCATCTGGGAGGTCCATCGGGAGGGCTGTCAGTATCCAGGAGGCCCTGCGGGAGAGCTTCTACCCTGAGGAGCACTAGGACCCTCCCTGGTCTGCGCCACTGGGGGCTTGTGTCTCATTCCTCCCTCACGTCCTTCCACTTACTCCTCCCTAACCCCCCTTCCTGATGTCAAATAAAATACATGTATTTTCATGAACAAAAACTCTCTTTATTTAACAAAACTGGGGGGAGGGAATGAAACTCTAATGAGACTGGGGAAAGGAAGCAAAAGAGGAGTGAAGAGAAGGTGGGAGAGGGGAGGGGGAAACCTGGGAATAGGGATCTGGAAGGGGAAAGCAAGGGGAAGAAGAGGGAGGGGAAGCTCAGGGCTCAGGGTTGGGGGTGTCGTTGGATCAACTTGATTGTCATGCAGACCTGCTCCTGGGTTTACACGCGGCCTTTGGAGGCCAGGCTGGCAGCTAACCTGCCATAGATGGACACCTTCCTCCATCTAGTGAGGAGATCATGAACGTTGGGGGCATCACCCCCAAACTTGAATAAGGTCCGTGATCTCCACCCTGGACCAGGAAGGTGCCTGCCCTGTCAGGCTCCTGGGAGCTGGCACAGACTGCGCCTGGGGAGCGGTGGAGGGCTGCCTGCCAGTGGCTTGCTGGCTCATGTTTTGGGGCCACTGGGTCAAGGGCAGTGACTGCTGGCTCTTGGCTGGCAGGTTTGGAGTTGGCACAGGCACTGTGGCCAGAGTCAACCCCTTTAAGGGTTCTGGGGAGGTGGTGAGGGAGAGAAGTGTTCCTGATTGAAGCTGGAGTGGCCACCGGGGCACCCTGGGAAGGCTGTAGGCCCCCTATTTAAAAATAAGTTTCTACACAGCACTTATTTTGAAATAGCTATTTCAAATTTGGCGTTATTCCTCATAGAATGAGGTTTACCAAATTCGAAATAAGAGCTCCACAATTTCGACTTTATTTCTAAATAGTGATTTGGCTGTGTAGACGCTAGAAAAGTTATTTCGAAATAACTTTGCTGTGTAGACATACCCTGCCAGAACAGAACTTCTCATGTTTATTTCCTTTCCCAAGGACTGACCGTAGAGCTCATACTGGGCATTGCAGTTGGCGTTGCAGTTGGTTCCTGTTTGATTCTGGCTCCAGTGGCTTATATTCTGCTGAAAAAATGTAGGTGGTTTTCTTACCTTGGGCTCTGAATCTCCCTCAACCTTGGATTCTGGCATTTGTATTCTCACTCTGGTTCTGACCCTTCTTCCACCCACTATGCCTGTCTCCTGCTCCCACCACTAGGCCATACTGCCCACCACTCAGATTTCCAACGGTCAAGTATCCCTGTCAGACAATGGAAAATGAATGGTAACATTGCCCAAAGCATCAAAGTCCAAGTGAAAGCTTTGAGGTGGGAGTTTCAAGTAGTAATGGGGCTCTGGCAAAGTTGTCATCTGTTGAGGCTTTACCAAGAGTACAGTTGGGAGATTTTTTTGGGGATGGTATGTAAAAGTGATTCAAATGCAGAAAAATAACCAAATCTAATCTATAGCAATAGCTATAGCTATCAATAAAATTTTAAAAATGGAAGCTTTGGCTGATTCAAAATGAAACATTCCAACTTTGTTTTGGATGATTCAATATGTAACATTTCAACTTTTCCCTTTGAAACAGTTTCATCTAGAAATTTAGTTAAATTAAAATAAGGGATGAATAACCCTGGATTGTTTGGGGTTGAATGAAATATTTTGTCCGATTAAAGAAAAAGTTCAGCTGCATTTTTAGGGGGCTAAGAGTGGGGGTATTTTTTTCAGTTTGGCCTTGATTAATGAACTATTTGGTCAGCTCTAATTGTGACTCGTATGACACTTGGTATTTTCCTTATAGCCCCAGTTGGTGGAATAAACAACTTTCGTTTTTATAAAGGAAGTTGCCATCCTTTTTGGCTGAAGAGAAACCTTGAAAATGTGACCAAAGTCAAATTAAGGCTGAGAAGCCAGAGAATAATTTAAAAAGTTAATATGTTTTTTAAAAAGATGTCATGATCTTTTAGCTAATTTTGTGATCTTGGGTGCCTGACACATGATTTTTGAATATCTGGGGCTGCGGACACTGTTGAGGCTCCTCACTGATTGACATGTTTGGTATATTTTTATGCGGAATGCCTAGTTATTGCCGGGTTCCAAAGACAATAAGGATGGATTGGGAGAGTCATGATCAGAAATCCTGCTCTCTGCTCTCCTTTCTGTCTGAAAAGTGCAACTGTAATATGAATACAAATGCTAATAATAACCAATGGACTACAAAGAGCCGTGTTTGACCCATTGAAAGCAGACGTGCAGCAACATTCATGCCACAATTTGTCAAACCTGGGTGGGAGGCTGGACTCTTTAATTTGTCAGCAGGGCCTCCAGATTCCTTTGGCCAACACTGACCATGGTGCAGAGTCCAAACCATGTCCATAGCATCACAGTCCATCTCTTTGCCAGGGAGGGAATGATCGGAGACTTTCCAATAATATTTTTTATTTCCTTTTTTGTTTTAGTTGCACCTAAACAGAGAAGTAAAAGGTAGGAAAAATAATTCCTTGCCAGTATGTTCTTTTCTCTATGCCAGTTGTGGGGAGGGCTAGGGTTCAGGTTAATCTGAGAGACAGCTACCCAGAGAGCGAGATCCCATTGTATCCTTCACTGCCCGAAGTGGAGCATAAACACAGAGAAATGCCCAGCTGAACTGATGTGTTTTGTTCTTGTTTTCCCAGGGAACCAGGTGTAAGCCACAGAACCGAGAACGCGGGCACAGATGATCAGATTCAGTGTAAGAACTTGCCGTTTTCCAATATCAATTCTGGATGGGTCAGGTGCTTTGTTCTCCCCCAGGAATGGGATATGTCTCATTACAAGCTGGGCCATCAGTGTGCTGGTTAGTAATGGGGGGCCCATGTGCTCCACAACCCCATTGCCTAGCCAGCAGCCTGCAGAACAAGAATGAGGAGAGTTCAGTGAGTTCTAGGGGCCAGTGGTGGTGAAGTCTAAAAGCTACTGATTTTCTAGGGTGGATGTTGTTCCTGGTCACTTATTGCCTGCTGCTGGTGGTTCATATTACTGTATTTAGCAGGAGTTAGAGCTGCAAGGATAGCCAGATGGAATCTAGATCCCTCACTAAAAATTCCTCATTGATGCATATGGGTTGAATCTAATCTAATTGAAAATTAAAACCGTGGCAGCACTTGTATTTCAGAAATGAGCTGGCCAGGATTTTATTTTTCCATGGGAAATTTTATGATGAAAATTTGCATTTTTGGGGGGAAATTATGAATACTTTGCTCCCACTCTAAAATAGTTTGATATGAAAATGCTGCTGGAGTTCACTATGGGAGTTCTACTTCATTTCTTTCATGCTTCCATTCTCCTCTGGTTCTCTTTTTGGCCTGTGTCTTCCTGAAATAGATAGTAGATTTTTATGGCGACCTTGACACAAAATGTAGGCAGATGCAAATGAAATTAGCTGACGATACAAAGACAGGAGGCATCATCAATGCACATGAAGACTGGAATATTATACAGGCAGTCCTGATGTAGAGGACCAGAGTAACAGAATGGGATGACATTCAAGCATGTAGAAAGCCAGGTCATGCGCTTATGGTTTAATAACAAGAATTGCTGCTACAAGGGGGGGCTCACCAGCAAACAAAACCCCAGGCAAGGTTTTTCCCGTAGAGACAAGAGAGTATTAATGTCATTGAACAAGGCACTGGTAAAACCTCCCCTGGAACAGGGTGCACTGTTCTGGTCACAGCAAGCTGAATTCAGACCGGAACAGGTGCAGAGGAGAGCTGGAAGGCTGACCAGGGGCACAGAGGTCCTGTCCCATGAGAGTGGAATGGCAGAGGTTGGCTTGTCTAGGCCATCAGGACGAAGGCTGAGAGGAGATCTAATTGCTCCCTATGAATCCATGGAGGGGTACACCTGGGAGGGGGAAGGGCTATTTCAGTGAAAGGACAACTTTGGCCCAACAAAAAATAGCAATAAGCTCGCCAGAAATGAGCTGAGGCTGGAAAGCAGATGGTTTCTAAATGTCGGGGGGTGAGTTGCTATAACAGCCTCCCAATTGGAGTTATGGGGGCAAACAACTCAATTCATTTTTTCATCGATTCCAAATTTAGAAGGGACTACTCTGATCCTCTTGTGTGACCCACTGTGTCACACAGGCCAGAGACCTGCTCCCAAATCGTTCCTAGAGCAGATCTTTTAAGGAAAAAAAATCCAATATTGATTTAAAAATGATCTGTGATGAGGAAACTGCCACAACCATTGGGGTACGTCTAGACTACAGGCTTTTGTCGACGGATACTGTCGACAAAGCTTCTGTCGACAAAGAGCGTCTAGACTACATCCAGTTCTGTCGACAAAGAGCGTCTAGACTACATGCAGTTCTGTCGACAAAGCAAGCCGCTTTGTCGACATGACTGTGTAGATGCAAAGGACAGTGTAGATGCAATAACGCCTTCTGTTGACAGAACTCTGTCGACAAAAGGCATTATTCCTTGTACAATGAGGTTTACAGCTGTCGACAAAATTGCTGAGTTCTGTCGATGTTATGTCGACAGAACTCAGTGGCAGTATAGATGCGGGTATAGTTTTGTCGACAAAAGGCCACTGTGTCTGACTTCAACTTCCAGCCATTGGATCATGTTCGACCTTGCTCTGCTAGATTGACACGCCCGTTAGTGAATATTCATTCCCTGCTTGGATACTTACAGATGGGATCAAGTCTCCCCTGAATCTTCTCTTTGTTAATCTAAATAGGCTGAGCTCCTGGGATTTATCAGTACAAGGCAGGTTGGTCATTCTTGTGGCTCATCTCTAAACCCTCTCCAATTTATCAACATCCTTCTTGCATTGTGGACACCAGCACTGGACAGAGTAGTCATACTGGTGCCAAATATAGAGGTAAAATAACCTCCCTAGCCTAGTTGAGACACCCTCCTTATGTATTCCAGGATTGTATTAGCTGTTTTGGAAGCAGCATGTTGGAAGCTCATAGTCAGCTGACCATAATGCTTTTAAGACAAAGCTTGACAAATTTAGGAGTGGGATTGTATGATGGGGCTGTTTGTGATGGTGGGAGGCAGTGCCCATCCGTCCTGGAGGTCCTTTCTGGTTTATGTCTGACACTCTCATGCTTCAGGGCCTGACCTGCAGGGGTCAGGAAGTGTTTCTGGATTATTAAGTATCAGAGAAGACCACATGGCTGGTGCTCTGCAGTGGCACTGAGCATTCTCTCTCTTAGGTGCCTGTCTGGCTGGTTCTTTTGGGGTGTGAAGGGAATTTCCTCCCAGCTCAGATTGGCAGGGACCTTGGGGGTTTATCACCTTCATTTGCAGCATGGGATGTAGCTCACTTACTAGGATTATCTGGGAGTCTCACTGAATCACTTCCCTGTCATTTCTGGAAGGGACCAAGGCTGGATTAAGAAATGCTGAGGCCCTGAACTATGTTACGTTTAGGAGGCCTGATAGTGTTAGTTTTTTAAAAAGGGTATATACTAGAGATATCCCTGTAAACTTCGTTTTATGAGGAAGAAGGGATGGTCCAAAAGAGGGGTTTCCCCCAACATTTAGCCTCGTGTAGATGGGCTAAATGTCAGAAAAGCCTCTTTCGGAAGAAAAGCGGGAAAAGATACGCAAATGGCCGTTCGCAATTTCTGTATCTTTTTCTGACTTTTCATTGTAGAGTGGACACAGCCCTAGTCTCCTCTTTTCTAAACTGAAAAGTCCAAGTCTTTTTAATCTCTCTTCATATGAGACCTGTTTCAAACCCCTCACAATTTTTGTTGCCTTTTTCTGAACCTTTTCCAATGCCAATGTATCCTTTTTGAGATGACGCAAGAACATCTGTACACAATAATCCAGATGTGGGCGTACCATGGTTTTACATAGAGGCAATAAGATACTCGCTGTCTTATTCTCTATCCCTTTTTTAATGATTCCCACTACACATTGAGTGGATGTTTTCAGAGAACTAGTCACAACTAGCCAATTAGCCCATCATAAGACGGGATTTTCAGGTCTCTCCTCCACGTCGGTCTTCTCTCCTGAGCCTCCGGTCTTTCACTCCGTCTCTCTCTATCTCTCTCTCTCTCCTCCTCTTGCTGCCTCCCCTCCTCTTTCTCAGCTCTCCTCCACCTCCTGCCTCTCTCTCTGTCTCTTTCTTTCTCTTCTTTCCTCCCTGCCTCTCACTCTCCCTTTCTCTTCTCCTCCTCCTCCTGCCTCTCTCTTCCCTCCGTCTCTCCCCGCCCCCTTCCCCTCCTGCCCTGGCACTCGGCTGAGTGCTGGGCCACTCAGCTGGACCGCGTCAGGGGAGGGGGGCGGGACGGTGACATACACGGCCAGGGGGAGGAGCCATGTATGTCACTGCCCCACCCCGCCCCCTTCCCCCTTCCTCTTGGCTCAGTGCTGCACCGCTGAACCAGCCACCGTGGGGGAGCAAGCGGCCCAAGAGTTCTGCATTGCTCAGCTAGGCCGTGGCGGGGGAGCAAGCGTTACAGACTCACAGACATTGGGCTACTATATACGGGTATGTCTACACTGCCACCCTAGTTCGAACTAGGGTGGCTAATGTAGGCATTCGAAGTTGAAAATGAAGCCCGGGATTTAAATATCCCGGGCTTCATTTGCATCTTGCCGGGCGCCGCCATTTTTAAATCCCCGTTAGTGCGGACTCCATGCCCACAGATACATGCGGCACGGAGTAGGTAGTTCGAATTAGGCTCTCTAATTTGAACTACCATTACTCCTCGTAGAAGGAGGGAGGAAGGGCGAGGCAGTGATGTACATGGCCAGAGGGTGGGGCTTTCTACATCACCGCCCCTCCTTCCCCTCTCCCAAGGCGGCCCGGCTGAGGGGTGCACCACTCAGCTCCAGGGCGGAAGGAGGAAGCGGGGCAGTGACATATACGGCCCCGCCCACTGGCCATGTACATCAGCGCCCCACCCCCCTTCCCCTCCGACTGGGGCCCAGCTGAGCCATGCAGCACGAGCGCCACTCAGCTGGGCCCCAGCAGGGGAGCAAGCGGAGGCAAGCGGCTGTTATGGACATCCATGGGGAGTGTGCGGACTCCAAATGGCCGCATGCTGCCGCATGCTCCCCCACCAAGGCCCAGCTGAGCAGCACAGAGCACCACAGCGGAAGAGGAAGGGGGGCAGGGCGCTGACATACACAGCCAGGGGCGTGGCCGTGTACATCAGCATTACAGACGCACAGACACTGGGCTACTATATATATGATAACCAGCTTGCTCTTAAGACGCAGAATAGCTATCCTGAAATATCTCTGCTGTGTAGACATAGCCTGATAGTGCTTTGGAGGTTCATTCCAAACTCTGATCATGAGGATTATGTGTCTTTTTGTTGAAACTCTCGAAACAACTTGGGTGATTTTGTGGGTTTTGCATCATACCCATGCAAATCTTATACAAAAATAGATGAGACCTGACCTTGTTCTTCTTTGAGATTTTGATTTGTTCAAAGTGTATGTGAATACTCAAACCAGAATGAACCAAACCAAAACATATTTATAGGTCAGGATGGAAAATACACATTATTCTGAACGGACACAAAATGAACAGCTCATCACAAAATTTAGATATTAATCTGGATACTTGGAGTAACTTCAAATCACTGACTCACCTAACAAACAACCCGTTTTAAGGTATTCAGATCTGGGAGCATGTGCTGATGCCCCTCTTATCTAACCCAAAACTATATTCACATTGGTCTATCGGAAATGGAAGTCACATTGGCTACGTCTAGACTGGCATGATTTTCCAAAAATGCTTTTAACGGAAAAGTTTTCCGTTAAAAGCATTTTCAGAAGAGCACGTCTAGATTGGCAGGATGCTTTTCCGCAAAAACACTTTTTGTGGAAAAGCATCCGTGGCCAATCTAGATGCGGTTTTCCGCAAAAACGAGCATGTCCATTTTTAGCAGGGTCTACCTGGCAACCCTAGCCGGGGCCCAGCTTAGCGGCAACCCAGCTTTAGCAGTGTCTACCTGGCAACCCTAGCCCAACCGCACAGCTGGGTCCCAGGTGGCAAGCGGCCATTTGGGGTCCGTGCTCCCTATGCATGGGGAGCACAGACCCCAAATGGCCACTTGCCGTTGCTTGCTCCCCTGCCGGGGCCCAGCTGAGCGGCGCAGCGCTCGGCCGAGCCGCCACGGAGGGAGGGGAAGGGGAGCGGTGCGCTGATGTACACAGCCAGGGGGCATGGCCACGTACGTCAGTGTTGCAGACTCAGGGTATGTCTACACTACCACCCTACTTCGAACTAGTGTGGTAGTGTAGACATACCCTCACAGACACTGGGCTACTCTATATATGATGACTCCAAGATCTTTCTCTTGAGTAGTTGTAGCTAAATTCGACCCCATCCTATTGTACGTGTAGTTGGGGTTATTTTTTCCAGTGTGTATTACTTTACATTTACCAACATTCAATGTCATTGTTGCAGAGATGTTCCTCAGAGTCTGATCAGACCCAGCACTCACTTGTTTAGCTCAGCCCCAAGCTCCTGCTGTTTTTAATTCACCGAAGTTTCCGTTTCAAACCCAACCCTGATTACAACAAACCACCTTGGTGAAACGTGTCCATTTAAAGAACTGGTCGGGGAGTTTGCTGACGTCCACAAGAACGGGAGGTGCGGTGACCAGGAGCCAGTGCTGTGCTAGGGGAGTGGGGTGGGAACAGATGTAGAGTCTAAAGCTGTGACAGGACTCGGGACTGGTGCTTGGGTGTGCTATTTTTGAACACTTAGATATAGCAGAAGACTCTCTCCCCTTGCAAGGTCAGCACTTCCCCTTGCTGGGCGAGTGCCAAGACAGCATTAAGTTTGAGGCAAGTTAGAATAGGACAGTGAAAAAAAGCTGTGGTCGCCAGGGCAGCAGCTGTGTGCATTGGGTAGAAGGGCTCTGGGTTGGGGTGGGAGCTCTGGGCAGGTTCAGCCTAGGGGCATATTCCCCAGGGACCCTCCCAAGTCGTGGTAAATCCCGCTGATCTGTGGATCTGAGTCCCAGCTACAAGGCTTGGCAGAAGGATCTTGTGGTTGGGTCACTCGGACTTGGAAGATCTGGATTTAATTCCTGGCTCTGCCACAGGCTCATTGGGTGGCCGCGGGTATGTCCCTTAGCACCAGATCATTCTGCCCTTGCCCATAGTGAGTTAACTCCTCACTCTGCGAGCGCTGACTGGCACCCAGCGGGGCAGCTCTCAGAGCTAGGGGCTGTTCAGGGTGAGTAAGGGGGGGGGGGGGGGGGGCCACTGCAGCCTGTTAGTCTGCTGCCACTCCCCACGTAGAGCTATGAGCTAGCCCAGCTGCACCAGGAGTGGCTGGGAGTATAAGCACAAGAGCCAGGGCAGCGCTAAGGGCCGTGTAAGTGGAGTAAGCGATGTCACGGGGGGCATGTTTACACTACAGAGATTTGTCGGGGAAACAGCCGTTTTTCCTACAAAACTTGAGGAAAGTCCACACAGCAATTGCGTTCTTCCGCAAAAAATCGAAAGAACAGAGAGGGCTTTCCAGCATCGGGAATTCTCATTCAACGAGGAAGAAGCCTTTTTGCGAAAGAACTCTTTCAGAACAAGGCGTGTGTGGACGGGAAGAGGGAGTTTTTCAGAAGAAGAGGAAAGAGGAAAAAGCTCAGGTGCCCTGGTGGCCATTCCATCTATAGCAATCACAGTTTACATGCGGGAGAGACGCCGTTCAGCCTGGATGCTCTTTTGAAAAAGCAGATCACTTTTTTGATGCACATTTGCAGTGTGGACGCTCTCTTTTGGAAGAAGTTTTTTCGGAAGATCTCTTCCGGAAACGTTTTTTCCAAAAGAAGCCTGCAGTGTAGGCATAGCCTGGCAGACCCCGCTGCTGCAGAAGGGGGAGGCAGGGGGTCAGTGGTCCATCTGGGGGTGAGGTTGGCCCTGCATATCCTCTGCCTCCTCCCTTGTGTCAGTGTTCTGCAGGCTGCTGTGAGGCCAGAGACACCCTCATAGCACAGCATGGCACTGACCTAAATGCCGGCACCTGGGATAAGTGGGCCCACCTGAGAATCCCAGCAGCTCCACAGACCTGTTTGCTGAAGTGGGAATGGCCCATTCTCTCACCCAGGGCCCGGAGGTGCTGGAGAGACACAGAGCAAGTCATCCCAGCCAGGATAGCCTCCTTCCTGAACCTTCTGGCCCTGATCCCTCTGTGGCACTGATTGTGGGGGGACAGGAGGAAGTGGGGGGGACTGCATGAATGTTATTGGGGATGCTGGGTGTCTAGTGGTGGGTACACTGTGGGGGGCTCTCCCAGGGAGCAGCACTTACCCCCCACTTTCTGCTAAATTTCTCCCCAGATGCCACCATCGGCGCGTTTGGTGCAGCCAGGGTGAGTTGTGATGTCGGTTGAATCCTGACTATGAATTTCAGGCTCAGAAACTGGAATATCCCAGAGGGAATTTGTGTCATGAGACTCCAGTGCTGGAGCACAGCAGGGCTGAGCCCAGAGCTGGGTGTGTGAGCAGGGAGCTGAATTTCTGTCCTGCTGGGCGTAGGGAGCTCCCTCACGGGGCGTAATGGAGAAAGGATGGCGATGTTTGTCTGGTTCACCCCTCTGTAGGGTAACACTCCGTGATTCCTGCATCCTGCCCAGAACTTCTACCTCCGCAGCTATTGCTTTTAGCTACTCATGGAAATGACAAGATTTTTCTGCCCTTTTGCCCAGTTTTCTATCTCTGCCTGCTCCTGCCTCTGTGTTTGAACTGAAAATTTTTGAAGAAAAAAGGTTTTTTTTTATTAAAATGAGCTTTTTTTTCTAAAATGAAAAATGTCACAAAAGATCGCAGGAGTCCTTTAAAATTTTCTATTTTGTTTGTAAAAATTTGGCAAACATTTATATCAAAGTGGTCACTAAAATTGTTTACTGAGAACTGGGTGTTCAGTAACCAAAAGTAATTCTAATAAATTTGAGAACATTTGTTGAGAAATCTGATAGAAAAATGAATAGCAAATTGTGCAAAAATAAAAACAAACGGATCCACCAGAAACCTGTGAGATGCAAACAAATCCACACCTCTATTTTTTTTCATTTTTGTCTCCATATTCTGAACAGCTGCTTTGCCTGTAGCTCTTTTCAGAGAGCTTTTCTGCTGAGCTATGTCTACACTGGCGGCTTCAAAAACTTGCCAGCTGTCTACACTGCACGAGCATTCTTCCAGAAGTAAATTTACAGGGCTTCTTCCAGAAGAGTTATTCCTCTCCGCACGAGGAATAAGCCCTCTTGTGCAAGAGCTCTTCCAGAAGAGGCCAGAGTAGACAGGCAACATGAATTTCGTGTGCAAGAAGCCCCTATGGTTAAAATGGCCATCAGAGCTTTCTTGCGCAAGAGAGCGTCTACACTACCATGGATGCTCTTGTGCAAAAGCACACGGCAGTGTAGACACTCTCTTGTGGAAGATTCTTTTGCACATGAACTCTTCCACAAAAGAGTTCTTGCACAAGAAGCTAACAGTGTAGACATAGCCCTGCTGTGTCAGTCTCTCTTTGTTGGGGGTTAGCAAATGAATAACAGGATTTTATTTTTGTTTTAAAGATTCCTCGGGCACAGGAAGGCGTGACTGCAACATACGCTGTCATAGGAAAAGCCCCTGGCTGGCCCAGATAATCCACTGGCTTCTGAAACATGTGGCTCAGGCTGCACTTCCGGTCTGCACTGACTCTGAAATGGCGGGTGCCAGAGTCCACTAGGTTAATCACTGAGTAGCCTGAGAACTTTACCACGTTTTAGGGAAAGTCTTTTCTGCTCCATGTCTCTGTCTTTAGACCCTGCTCCCCAAGATCTCAGCGCCCACTGCCTGCATTTCTCTTAGCCTCCCCCCTCACTGCTCCCCTCCTTCATCTGGAGTTTTCTAGTCGCCAGGGCAGATGTCAGTGTATTTATTCCCATTGTAATAAACCGGCAATGTGAATGTGTGCAGTGATGATTCCTTCCTGGATGCCGAGGAGCTCAGCTCCCCTGGAGAACAATGGAGTTCTGCTAAGCCATGGTCCCTGCACTCCCCACAGGCCTGAGCCAGCCAAGAGGTACAGAGCACAAGGGCCAGATGAGGTTCTCCAATCCCTCCTCATCCTCAGTGTGTGAAATTCAAGTACCCAGGCCCTAGTGTTTGTTCCCCTGAGCGCTGCCTGGCTGGTGCATGGGAGGGGGGGCCTGATCTCAGAGCTCTCATCCACCCAACCGGAAACTTCCTCGTGGGACCCTAATCCCAGGCCCAGAGCAGAGTCAGCCGGGGCTGCAGTCTGGCCAGGAGCAGGCCCTACAGGCAGGGATGCTGCACAGCCCAGCAGCCTGGCAATAACAGGGAGCAGCAGCCTCTCCCCTCTCTGTCTGCCCCCCACCCTCGCATGGGGCATGTGTAGGGCCTCCACCCTGAACCTAGGCTCTCCTCACTGCCTGCCCCCTTCAGCCAGGTCTGCGGCTCCCCCCACCCCGGGTCTGCGTTGGGAGTGGGGTTGTGTGTGCAGCAGGGGACTCGCTGATCCCCTGCTCAGGGCCAGGCCGTGGGTTTGCTGGGGAACCTCCCAGCACATTTCTGCCCCCCAGGGCTGGGGTCAGGGCCGGGCTCGCTCCCAGCTGGGCTCCCCTCTCCCCTCTAAATGGCACCAGAGCCCCACTGCCCTTCTCCTCAGGCTGTTTGTTCTGACCCACCCCTCCCCCTCTGGGGTCCAGGCCAGGGCTTGTCTGAGTCTCTTGTGAGCTCTGGCTGCCCCCCTCCCATTGCACACCCCTGGGCTCACACCCCTCCCAGAACTGGGGGAAGAACCCAGGAGTCCAGCGCCCAGCCCTTCCTTGCTCTGGCCATTAGATCCCACTCCCCTCCCCAGCCAGCCTGCTGCCTCACGCTATCACCTCACTCCTAGGCTGGGCTTTTTCTGCTTCCCGTTTCACTGAATGAGCTGCAGCAGAGGCTATTTACCTGCAAACGTGGGGCTCAAGCTGTCAGCTGAGCCCAGCCCTGGGCTCTCGGTTGCTGTGAGAATGGAACTGAAAGCCCAGGCATGAGTAAAAGTGAAACACTGTTTAGCAGCAGCCAGACTAATAAGGACTTTGAGCTTTTCGTTTTATGGTACAAAACCAGTCAGCCCTTCCCTTTGGCTGCACAGTCCCTGAAACCCAGGCCACAAAACTCCCCTCAGACATTCAGCCGTACAGTGCTGAGAGACCAATGAAATCAGGCAGTGAAACACAGAGCTTCCCCCAAGCTCTACACTTAAAATCCTGAAGCTGTGTGAGGTAGCACTTCATTGAAGATGCTGCTAAGTCATGGGAGGGCTTCTAATAGTGTAGTTAATCCACCTCCTGTTAACTCAGTACTGCCTCCCCCAGGGATTCAGTTAGTTTAGGAGTAGCTGTGTTAGTCTGTAACTTTAAAAACAACAAATCATCCTGTGGCACCATAGATACAAACAAAAATATATGGACTCGAGCTTTCATGGCTAAAAGCCACTTCATCAGATGAGTTGGAGTGGAAATAACAGAAAACATGATATATATAAAAGAGCAGATGTACCTGTCAATTGTAGGGCCTGTGTTAATGAGGCTAATTAAGAGGGTTGGCTGTGTCCCATTCATAACTTCTGAAATGAAAATTCATATGATTTTTCTGTGGGTGAGTGGCCCCCAACCCAAAAAAGGCTTCCCACCCCTACCTTAAAAGAAGGAAACATTGAACTCTTTTTTTGTTGGACTTAAATTAATATTTTACTTTATTAAATGCTTAATAATTTAAATTAAGCCAGTCTCCATGGCTGCAGCACTAATAAAATGGCTCAGGTGTAATTATGTAATTAATGGTGAGTTTCCATTAGCAACTGGTAGTCTGGGAAAGATTTGCATTGAGCCAGGTGATCGATGGGCCAAAAGCTTTGAGAACCACTGCTTTAGATAAACCCACTGCGAATAGCAAGATTGAGTCAGAACTGAGGTCTACCTAGTGCAGTAGCCTGCCTCTGACTGTGGCCAGAACCAAATACTTCAGATAAAGGTGTAGGACTCCTACAACAGAAGCTATAAACCTGAAGGTCCCATTCTGACCTATAGCTATAGGTTGGTTTAAGCCCTTGATATCTCTGGAATGCTCTTTGGTTTAGCAGTAACTATTATACACGCTGGATAATTATCCATAAAAATGCCCAGTCCCTCTTTGCAGCTTGTAAAAGCGGGTTAAAATATTTTTTTCCCCTTTGGAAAATGTTGGCTTTTTATTTATAAATACAAAAACAAACTTAACATAAACCCTTGAAAATTCCCTGAACCATTTTGTTTGTTTGTTAGTTTTGTTTTTTGGAACTGAAAAATGTGGCCAAAAACAGCAGACAAGAAAAAAAACAAGTTTGGCAGCAATCAAAATATTTTCTGCTATATGTTTTAGCTGCAAATGTTTGTTTTTCAGGCTCTACGTATTCCAAAAAAAAGAAAGAAATGAAAATGTTGGGGGAAAGCAGACACTTTCTTGGCAAATCTTTTTGTTCAGTTGAACATCCAGTTTTCTGATTAACTTGAACAATTTTAGCTGGTCCTGGCTAACTTCATAACTATCTGCCAACAGAAGAAATCTCCTAACCCATTGGTTACCACATCCTATATCATTCCAATGCACAGCAGCCCTTCCCTCCAGTCCCTGTCATCCCAATCTCAGCCAGAGACATTCATAGCCCAGGCTGTACTGCCGTTTGGCCCTCCATTTCCCTGATTACTGGACTGTTTTCCATACAAGGCAGCTCTCTGCTCGCTAGGAATTCTCTCTACTCCCTTCTCTAGTGTTATCTGAATAATGAAGTGAATGGAAGTGCCAAATCCCAGGGAGGCCGTTGCAGGACTTTGAATCCCTGCTGCAGGAAGAAAAGGCCCCAAGGGATGGGCAGGGCAGTGATAAGAATTATCTGGCATCCCTGCTCCAGCCAGGCAATAGCTGGGAGGATTACAGTGGTGAGCCAGCAATAACCCCTGCAAGGCATCTGACCCTCCAGTGTGTGTCACTGCTGCAGTTAGCTGTTTGCAGCTTCTCTCCTGAGTGAGGACTTTTCTCATGAGCTGCTTCTCACCCATGTTGATCTCTTTCTTGGAGAGCAAAATGCAACCCATCCATTACCTCCCCCCACCCTGTCCCACCCTCGTGCTTCATGCCAGATGGGTTACACCTGGGGCCAGGTATTTAGGCACCTAGAGATGCAGATGGGGAATTTGAAAAGCACCTCTGCATCTAACTCCCATTGGAATCTACTGGGATTAGGCACTTAGAAGCTTTTGTGAAACTTGCTGAGCACCCAACTTCAGGCATGTCTGCAGGAGAGCCAGCAGCCTCCATAAGTCCCGGGGCAAGATGGGGAGGCCCAACTTGGTGCTCCCAGAAGGGGCAGGGCGTCAGTCAGAAGTGGCCTCATGCCACTCGTACTGGGGTTGCACCCCCAATCCTTAAAACTCCCAGAGAGCACTGCAGGGCACTCTGGAAGCAATTTAAAGGGCCAGGGCTCTGGCCATTGCCAGTGCTTCATTAGCAGCAGCCAGCAGCTCCAGGCCCCTTTGAACTGCTCCCTTTGCACCCAGGATTGGTGGGCCAGCATGTCTTTTACCTATTCAGTACCATCCAGGTGCCTAAATACCTGTGAAAATCTGCCCACAAGTAACTGGCTCAAGAACACACAGGACGTCTGCTTCAGAGCTGAGAGTTAAACTTAGACCTTGTGGGTCACAAATTAGAGAGTCCACTGCAAAGATCATCCCGATAATAAGTAATAATGAGAAATAGCTTGTGCCAGCAAGTGGGACTGTTGCTTTTCTTTTGTGGCTGCACGCTTTATACCAGACACAAGGAGGCTCTAGAGACTGAGGAATAAGTCAAAATGGGTTTCACTGACAAACATTTAATTTCCTCTCAAGAAGATACATGTTCCACAATTCACAGCTCTGTCAATATCGCTACAGAAAGATTCAATCCAAAGTAATTATGTAAAATCCCCTTTAATTGGTTAATTGGTTGTTATGTGCTCATGAGTTCAACAGTTTTCCGATTAAAAGGAGGGACAGACTGGAGCAGCCTTTGCCTGTGACATGCCCAGGCCCGCTGCAGTCAGGGACTGCTCCAGATGGCTGGAGAAGCCCCTGTCTGTGGCAGGTCCCATGGGACTGCAGTAGCTCCCCTGCCCATGGCCCCTGGTTAACTGGTTGCTTACTGGTTAACTGGTTAACCTTTCACATCCCTAATCCAAAGAACCCCTTGAAATGGGTTATACATTAAATGCGCTTTTTACAACCCTCGTCTCTCGTGACCATTTGGGGTGGTTCACATGCACCCTACGCAGCAGAACTGCCTCATCCATGAACGGGCCCTGGCTATGATTATGCAAAGGGCAAAAGAACAGTCAAAATGGCTGCATTGCAACTCGTGGAGACATTTCTGCAGCATCAAACAGCACGTGGCAGCTTGCAACGTGGTGCCTCACGCGGGTATTGGCCTGAGGATAGCCCCTCCTTCAGAGGAGTCAAGTGGCCAAATCATCCACTCTGCAATAGACACAAAGGGAAATGAAAGTGCAGGCTGGCAAGCTACTGTGTACTGGGGGAAGAGATGAAATGTCTGCCTTCCCACGCTGTGTACTTTCACAGGCTGTCTGCCTTCCCACGCTGTGTACTTTCACAGGCTGTCTGCCTTCACACGCTGTGTACTTTCACAGGCTGTCTGCCTTCCCATGCTGTGTACTTTCACAGGCTGTCTGCCTTCCCACACACAATGCTTTCACACAATGTTTGCCTTCACACACTGTGTGCTTTGACACAGTGTATGCTTG